ACTTCTTCGTAATGAGCGTAAATCAGACAAAAATATATTTTAGGTGAAGTGGTGAGATCTCACCTCTTTTCTCACCTCATGATTTTTCATGAATTTATGTACATGTTTTTGTCAAGACTTCTTCGTAATGTTTTGTCAAGACTTCTCGTAAATGTTTGTCAAGACTTTCATCGTAAATGTTTTGTCAAGACTTCTCGTATTTCCTTTACCCGTTGAATTTTGATAAAAAAGCCAACCTCGTAGCATTCGGGCGTTGGTATATCGTCACAAAGACATGCTATGTTTTTGAGTCGCAGCCAACTTTTGGTTCACTCGTATCTTTTCAACTCAAAACTCGATGAATTTTCCCGAAATAAAAAAAAGTTAGTTTTTAAAAAAATATTTTTTATATTTTAATTGCTAAGAACATGTTTTAGCAACAACAGCCCAAGCTCGTTAGTCATGAATCCTTACCTTCAATGGTTTGGTAGCATGATTGAAAGCTCTCAATTCCTTCTTCATATACTTTCGAAAACAGAAATCCAGAAAGATAAAGCCAAGAAACTTCTGCCAATGGAGATTTAGTCATTGGCACTGCGAAAGATGAAACAAATGATAAGAATATCTTTATGAAATGCAGGATATATTATTGACCATCTTACTAGAACAGTTCCTATGAAATCCAACAACAAAAGTTTTACCTATTTTCCAGAGAATTTGCAAGAAATAGAAGTGAAACCAACTGACTCAGTTGAAATAATAGAATTCATTACGTTAAGGTAAACTATTGAATTTCTTGGATTTCATTGAACTCACCAAGAGTCATCGACAAAGATGACTGCGATATCGGTATATAAGAATGTTTCTGCATATATAAATCGGAGGCAGTTTAAGAACCTAGCGAACAACTTTGTTTCGTTTACTTGCGTGAATGTGTATAGGTCAGAATAAGAGATAAAGATAAAAGATGTAAATAGGAGATGAACGAAATAAAACGCCGCAACTTGTTTGAGTTAAAGAAACCACTTGAACGCCTGAGTAGTTGTACCTTGCAGGACAAATTTTCAATGTACAATTGCCAAATATGAAACGCCACAATGTTTCTACATGATAGTTAAAGCCAGCAATGAGGACAATACTACTACTCCGTCAAGAGATAGAAGTATGCGAAACAGACTATGCTGACTTAATAGAAAGATAGCAGAGAACCAGCAAAAGAAAACAAAATGGACATGTTAGCATTCTAAACAAAAACATATCCAACAGCAGAAGATTTCCTTCTATTCTGACGTTCAAGAAAAATATAGAAACTTTCCGCAATTGTGAAACTTTTGACATGACGTGACAAAAATAGAAGCTACGACCATGTTAGAATGTTCAAATTATCATCGTACAATTCATGTAAAACGCTTGGTGATAAAAAACAGCGTGAGAAAAAGAGCGTTGAGATCGACCTCGTTCACCTAAAACTATTATTTTGCGCGAGGTAAAATGACACAATATTTCCATTATGATAACTGTCTTTTTTTTACGAGAGAAACTTTGACACTTCGTCAAAAAAATCCGCTGAAAATCATATCTTTTACTACAAACATTCAAGCAGGTGAAAAAACAGGTGCAAAAAACAGGTGAGATCGCACCTCTTCACCTAAAACATTATTTTGTTGATTTACGTCATTGATCGATGAAGTTTTTGACAAAACATATACGAAGAAGTCTATTTCCTGTGTTGTTGTCAAAATTCATGTTGTCAGCCATTTCAAAAAGATGGTTAGTTGACCGAGGGACCGAGGACCGAGGGGACGTGGGATGACACACTAGAAACTATGAAAATCGTAAAAATGGCGGAGTAGGAAAAAACGCTGGTCGCCGTAAAACTTATGGAAATCGTAAAAAAAATGACCAAATTTCATTATATAACTGTTTATTTTTTTTAGGAAGAGAATTTTGACACTTCGTTCAAAAAAAAACCACCCTGAATATCGTTGAAAAAATGACCAAATTTCATGATAATAACTTGTTATTTTTTTACGAAGAGAACTTTGACACTCGTCGGTCAAAAAATCCCTGAAATCGTGAAAAAATGACCCAAATTTCCATATAATAACTGTATTTTTTACGGAAGAGAACTTGTGACAGCTTTCGTGCCAAAAAATCCCTGCAATCCAAATTCATTTTATACAGATAGAAAATCTTACTCGCCTAAACATCATGAAAATTCGTGAAATTTTCTCTAGACGCACTTTTCCTCGGTCTTGCATAAAATCCTAAATCGTGAAAAAATGACGCAATTTCGATTATATAACTGTTGATTTTTTACGAAGAGAACTTTGACACTTCGTCAAAAAAATCCCCTGAAATCGATGAAAAAATTGACCAATTTTCATGAATTCTCCATATATGTTTGCTACATCGAAAACCGAGGATTAGAGATTCCAATTCGAAAATTCGTGAAAAATTGCGACCCAGACTTATTTCGAGGGTCGAGATTCCGTAGACAAAATCGTAAACAAATTTCGACCCCGATTTATTCGGTGGTCACCTAAAACTCATGAAATCGTGAAAAAATGCACACAAATCTTCATCTATTATAACTGCTTATTTTTTTACGGAAGAGAACTTTGACACTTCGTCAAAAAAATCCCTGAAATCATATCTTTTTTAGTATAGATAGAAAAATAAACGTTAGTTTTTTATAAATATTTTTTTATATTTTGGTATGTGTAAATACATAGTATGACAAACATTTGAGTTGAAACAGTTAGAAAGTATAGACAATTGACACAAGTGGTTGCGAATATGTGATTTAAACGTAAAGATAACTCAAAAAGAAATACCAACAAAGTATTCTTTGTGCAGACATTCTTAACACTAGTCTGGAAAGAAAACATCCACGACTGGGTAGAACTGGTTCTACTCAGAAAATTTTGACCAAAATGAAAATCCTGAGCTATTTGATACTACGGTAAAGATTCTATGGAGACTGCCAGCATATCTCATCGACAATAAGTCTCGTATACCATAGTTTTGTATGGTTAGACGCCAGTTTTGGTATAACTTCCATAACATGAATGGTTCATTTCGATACGGAACGTTGCGTGAAGCCTTAAAAAAAAAAAAGGTAGTGGGGCCTCCAGGCACTTCGTGCCTTCTAGCCCTGAGGATGTTTGGTATAATGAAGTTTTTTTTTTCTTGGGATGGCCTTCCAGGCACTTCGTGCCTTCTAGCCCATAAAAAGTTTAGTATAAATGAAGTTTTTATTCGGAAAACCTTCTTCTGGGTCGAAAAACATTATATAATGTGTCGCTTTTCACAAATTATATATGTTTTCATGTTTTGTCAAGACTTCTTCGTAAATGTTTTGTCAAGACTTCTTCGTAAATGTTTTGTCAAGACTTCTTCGTAAATGTTTTGTCAAGATTTCATCGTAAATGTTTTGTCAAGACTTCTTCGTAAATGTTTTGTCAAGACTTCTTCGTAAATGTTTTGTCAAGACTTCTTCGTAAATGTTTTGTCAAGACTTCTTCGTAAATGTTTTGTCAAGATTTCATCGTAAATGTTTTGTCAAGACTTCTTCGTAAATGTTTTGTCAAGACTTCTTCGTAAATGTTTTGTCAAGACTTCTTCGTAAATGTTTTGTCAAGACTTCTTCGTAAATGTTTTGTCAAGACTTCTTCGTAAATGTTTTGTCAAGACTTCTTCGTCATAGGCACGGAGATAGGACGGTTATTTTACAAAACTAACAACACGTTGACCGAGTAGTTTTTTGAGCTGAACAAAAAGTGTCATATAAACATCTGTCAAAAACCGTTTTTTACTTCACTTAAAATGCCACGTAAGCTACGTAAGAATATACGTAAGAGGAAGGGAGCATTGAAACATCCAATAGTAAAACTGACACCACAACAACAGTTGCAACAACAAATGATGAATGACCCCACTATGTTGCAACAAATGTCAAGCAACCCTATGCTTTTAAACCGAGTTATTGGTGCACAGAGTGGAGGTTTAAGAGCGGCACTTTTAGCGAAAATGGCAGGCTATGGTGGAGCTGCAGACGGAACAGCCTATAACCCTCAAAGTCAAATGAATTTGAGTTCACTCAAAAATCAAATATCAGATGTCAAAAAGTCAAACATAGACATACAGAAACAAATAAGTGAAAACGAAAAGAAACTAGAATATGACAGACACACAAAGAAACTCAATGAGTTAAACGTAGAGAAAAAGAAGAAAGAAGAACAACTGAAAGAACTAAGTACAGAGGAATATGCGAAAAAAGTGTCAGAAAAGCAGCAGAAGTAGCAAAAATGGAACAAGATGTCATAAATTTGAAAAACCATACTACTCAATATAAAGTACTGAAAGATGAAGAAATAAAACAAAAAGCCCTGAAGACATATATGGATAGCGATGAGTATAAAAAAGAAGTTGAAGCAAATGTAAAGGCAGAAAAACTTTTACAGTTGCAAAACCAAACCGTACAGTATGAAAACTTAGCACAAGAAAGTAAAAATAACGACGCAGCCATGCAAAAGGCAATGAAAAGCGCAGAATATATAAAAGCTAATAATGACTGGTTAGATGCCCAAGCCAACGCTAAAGCAGCCCAACTTATAGGGTCAATAAGGACAAAAATACAAGCGGATGAAGACAGTTCAAATGAAGCTTTAATGAATGCTGACTTTAAGAACGCCTTCGAAGCTCTTCATAGTAAGGTGAAACTAGTGAACGACTTCTCATCTGGAAAGAAACTGAAGTCTGAAGGTTTCGACAACGAGTTAAGAGAAGTAGCACAAAATATGACGAAAATAACAGATACAGCAACGAGACAGGCAGTTCAAAGTGCCTATGACGCCGTTAGAGTAACTGTTGTGGAAAGTCAAGAAAAAGAGTTACAACAGACCAAAACAGACCTAGTAAATGCTTTCTTAAGAACGAAAAGTCAGGTAGGACATTATGCTGCAGATGGAACATATGTGCCAGCTGGTGGAACTTATATACCACCAAACCCTCCAAGAGAAGCACCTGCACCAGGACTACCTAAAACATTTACATCGTCACATGGACACAGACACAGGCATGCACCAAAACCAACACAACAACCAACAGTTCAAAACACTGCACAGCAACCAACAGTTCAAAACCCTGCACAACAACCAACAGTTCAAAACCCTGCACAACAACCAACAGTTCAAAACCCTGCACAACAACAACCACAAACAGAGCAAGGACATAAAAGAAGTAGAGAACAAGGAAACCAAGAATTCTTAAAAATGCTTAAGGAAGACTATGGTTACCCAGATACTCTTGACTTTAGTGACAGATATAAAGAAGCTATTAGAAAGTTCAAGGAAGGAAATACTGACCCGAACCTATTTAGCTTTATGGTTCAGCACCAAATGGGATATAATTTCAAACCTGGAAAATACAAGCTCGCTAAGGGATATGATTTAATAGCATATCATCCAAATGACATGAATGAATTTACTCCTAGATATTTGGTGTCAGAGCTAAATGATAATTCAACTCTCTTCATGAAACGCGTAAAAAATAGAGACGGAACGAAAGAAGAAAGGTTTATGAGTCCGGATGACTTAGATAGGGAACTTTTTAAAAACGGTCTCGGAATATATGAAATGCCAGCAGATGAGGTACAAGAAACTCCACAGGAAGAAGTTCAGATACAACCAGACATGGAAGAAATAGTTCAGCAACAACAGCTAGAAGAGCCTGAAGGAAACGAACAAGTTCCTCCTTTGGAAACTAACTTCACAGAACTAGATGAAGATTTGGAACAGCCGAAAAATCTTGACCCTCAACAAGTGTATGCGGAGAATATGGAATCTTTCCAAGAGTCTAAGAAAAATTCGGCTGACATAGTAGAAGAATATCGAAAAATGTTCGCCGACATACAAAAGACTCCAACATCAGATGAAAATATCCAGCATAGAATGGAAGTACTGAAAGATAATGTACACAAATACAACAATCCTTTTTACTTACGAGCATATAACGTTCAATCTTTGGATGAACTCGGTGAAAATAAAAGGTTAAATTTCAACAAAACATATAGAAATGAAACATTGTTTAAAGTTCATTCAGAACCTAGCCAATATGGAAACAAACCTACTTTTGTTTCTGCAGACGATGGAACTACAATGAGATGGGGTCATAAAGCTAATCCGGATAGGTGGTTCATAAACTTACAACCACAATTCCAAGAAGTTGTAGACGCAATGGAAGTGAATGGTGAACCAGATGTAGCTGGTATTTTCAGCGCGGCTTTAATGCCATTGAAAGATATGAAAGATGCAGATATTTTGAACCAGTATGAAATGAACATGGCTGATGGAAATATAACACCTGACGTTCTAGAACATTTATCTCAAAGAACTACACAGAACCATAGAGATGGTATATTTGGTGAAGAGTTTAGAAAGAAAGTTAGGGAGAGAGAAGGAAGAGAACCTATTGTACATGACCTTGCAAACGAAAGTTTACAAAATGTCATAAAAACTTACTTTGCAGACAATGAACCGAGAAGGGATGAATATTTAAGAAAACTCAAATGGACAGTACCAAATGAAATGTTAGTATTGAAAAACATGTTCCTTGACAAAATAAAACCAACTACAGAAATAAATGACGCAAGACTGAAACATTGGGTAAAAGCTTTCCCATTCACAAAAGATATTATTGGTAACATGGAAAGAAAACCAGAATGGCTACAAAAACATATATTTGGAAACGAGCTTATTCCATATGGACAAGCTCTGTTTGAAGAGCTTGAACCGGAAACTCAGGAAAGAGTCATGCAAACAATACGCGAAGACTCAAATACAAACTATGACAAAATCTTTCTAGGATATAGGTTACCTGAGATAGGCGACCAGAGCCCAAAGGCAAAAAGGACATGGGAAATTTACAACATACTAGGTGAACATGAGGCAAAGATGCAACAACTTGAAGCAGAGGGCAAGTTACCAAAAGCGACACCAAAGAAGAAGAGTAGAACAAAGTAAAGCTTGGTACGAGTGGGTTCTATTATGACAAATAAATTCAACTATTCTATATTTTTACCCATATGAAATGTACGCCGCTCAGAATATAACGCCAACAGTTTTGGATGCCATGAACGGAAATGTTTCCGAATGGTATAACGAATGCGACAATGCCATTAGAAGGTCAGAAATAGTTCCTGGAACTTACGAATATACAACTGCTGTTTCTTATGGAAATGTAGGTGAGTTTGGTGAAGGTTCTTCAACAACAGTAGATATTGCTTGCGACAGGTTTCATATTATTTCTATTGACAACTCATTCTTATACGTGGAACAAGACATTGAAATAAAACCTTCTGCCAAGTTGTCTGACAAGAAAGGTTGCAATGGAATTTTCTATGTCGGATACCAATATGCTCCAGAAGTTTTCATGGATATAAGATATATTCTAACTCTGACTTAGTTCAAACAGTAACATGGGCAAACTATGAATGGTTCGCTTTGAGAAACTCAGTACAACCACAAGCTAGAGAACAAACAGACCAGTATGCAAATATTGAGAAAATAAGAAGACTTGACCCTAACGTTCCAGGAGTTTATGTTAACCTTTCTGGTTCAGATGGAACTGCTGCCACTAAAGTAAAACTGAAACTTAGAGTTCCTTTGTCATCTTTCCTCATCTTCAGGTTTTTAAGATACTTGCCAAACTGGGCAGGAAAAATTTCTATTGAACTTACTCCAAGCAAAAATAACTTAGTCATTGCACCAACACAAGACCCATTCACTATTACAGACGTAAAGGGAACAAATCAAACGTCATTCGCCGAATTTTGCAAAGACAAAGTTGACTTAGACTTTGGTTTCTCAAACTTCAACAATGAAGTAAACTATTATTTCAATGCTGCTGGAACTGCTTGGGACCCAGTTAAGTTTACATGCGAAAAATTTGAATGCAAGAGAATAGAAAGCAGACTTGCAGTCTATATGTTGGACCCAGATATTTCAAATGCTTTAGCTGCCAAATATATTGCAGTTCCACTTATGTTCCCTATACACCAAATATCTGTCAAAGACTTTGCAGGTGAAGTTGGAAACCAAAGTGCTGACCCAGGTGCAAGAACAGATATTGCTTTAACAACTGCAATGAAACATGCAGATACTATGTTTGTACTGTTCAGACGAACTATAAATGACTATTCTTGTTTCTACAACCCCGGTATTAAATATCATATAAACATAGATGGCAAATATTATCCAAGAGAAGAATATTCTACAGTTGAGGATATGAGGTCATACAACTTGACATTAGATGCTATGAACTTTAACAACAACTTCACAACAACCATTAACCCTGAAATGCAAAGTTCTATTATGCCATATGTGAAAGTATGGACTCATACAGGAGGTCAAAAAACTCAATATACAAATGGAGACCGTTCAAACTTTTGGCTTGGCATTCCATTTGCTGACTCAGAAGACTTTATGGGTGGTATTTCAACTGTTGGTACAGTTCAAATACAATATACTGGTGACAGAGACGGTCCAGATGAACTGAGAGCAAAGAAGTTTACAAAACCAATAGCACTTTTCACGGAAGATGCTCTTTTGAAGATTCGTTCGATGAAACCTGCTGGGGCTCCTCAGATTGGCATAACGACAGCTTCCATCGAGCAGATTTTGGCAGCAGGTCAGTAAGTTGTTCTTGAACTGACTTCTCTCCGTCAAATATTGACAGTACGCCAGTTTTGACATAATATTGTAAGATAAACTTACCTTTAGAAATATCTGTAAGTTTTGTTGTTATATTTTTGTCTGCTTCAAGAACTTTCACCATTTCAGTTATACCAACTTTCTTTGCTTTATGGAAATATTTTGGTTCAGCAAATATTGCTATTCTATAACATTTACCATTGTTTGTATAAAGAACTATTCTGTCAATGTATTTGTATTGTTTGTGTGTGTAAACTTTGTTCTGCTTCAATTCGAAGAGATACTCGAATACGTCCATCTTTTTATTCTAAGTAAAATGTCATTTCCGAAAAATAGAAGCGTAAGTGTTTCAAAAGGTTTAATGGCGGTGGCAGATGTGAAGTTAAATTCACCAACTCAAACAAACAGTCAAAGTATTGTTGTCAATGTCAAAGACAGAGATGTTGAAGTGGGGAAACCATACGAGGACGAAGATGGTATAACAATTGTTCCTGTAAAAGAACAACCAACATATCCTGAAGTTAGCAGAGACTTAAGTTCTGTTGCAGATATTCGAAACGACTACAACAACTGAAAGACAAACTTCAAACTCAGGAAGATTTGTCAAGCTTTAAGCATAATGTTAAACTTGGTCGAACACAACCCTGTAAAAGTGAACTCATATGTCATCGCACCTCATGAAGTTTTGAAAGAACTATTGAAACTTTTGACAGAGGCAGACGATATAAACATCAAAGAAATAGAACCCGACATTAGTTGCTGTGGTGTTTCATATAATGTCATTGACAAGATATACGTTATGAAAGGAGGTGAAACGTTGAACTTAAAGTATAGTTTCCCAGACGTCATAAAAATATTTGACGACCACAACATTTCATTAAAATTTATTTGCTAAGTAAAAATGTCAAAACTTCTTGAAAGATGTTTGAAGAAAAATAATATAGACTTTATTTCATGTAAAGGACTTTACACACTTTTGAACGATATGAAAGACCCTGTTTTGTTTGTTCGTGTAGACAAAGGAAAGTTCTATGTCTTTACAAAATATTTGAACTTCTTAGACAGAGAACTTCAAGAAACGCCATGTGAAAGTTTAGATGAAGTTCTTCTCCACTTTCAGAAAAACTTTTAAATATATATAAATGGCAGAAGATATAATGGTTTATACTATTACGACTAAAAACCCTGAGTCATATAATTCTATAACAACAAACTTACAAAGTCCTCAAGGACGATATTGTAAACTAACCTTAAACACAATGACGACTAAAGCCTGTTTTGCTCTTTTGACACCAGAAGACTTTATTGTTGTGAATGGTAAAAAATACTCCTTTGAAGATACTTACTCAGATATACCACCAACAGGTTTTGTTGACTTATTTAATACTTTAAGTACGGGTGTAACATGTGCTGCAACTAGAGCAGGTTTCATTATGTTTGGATGTCCGACTGAGTTTACTATAAACAATATGAGCTATAATACAAAACTTATATCTGGTTTTTACTACCAACAGTTTCCTATAACAGGAAAAGGTGTCATACAAGGTTTGTCTGTTCCATTGACATTAAGCACACCAATCTTATATATTGTTTCAAACTTAGGTTCAAAGTGTTATTCGAATGTCGACAGAAACTATTATGACCAAAAGATACTTATGCGTATAAACAATACTTTCTCTGCTGGTTTGCCTATTGTTCATTCGAATGCAGAATTTTCAACCTTAGTGAACTCAAACACATTGGCAAGTATAACGTTGACATTAGTTGACGCAAACTTTGTTCCTGTAAAACTTTTATGTCCTATGTATTTGTCAATGACGGCAGAAAGTTTCGAATTGGAAGATGCAACTGGTGAAAGTATTGTATTACAAGAACAACTTCAACAACAAATAGCTCAAGAACAACAAATGCAACAAATGCAACAACAAAGTCAAGAATAAAAAAAAATAATTTTTTTATTTTTATAAAAATGTACAGAATAGATGTTTCAGATTTTTATGACTTCCAAGCATTCAGAAATATGTGTCCATTTCGAGACTATAACAAAGCAGTCGAGAATTTGAAACGTTTAGTCATTTATGTTGACTCTGCCCCAGAATGTTATGTCATGAAAGAATGGGATGTTGTCTTTAACAAACCAAGAGCAACAATAGTGTCTGAACAAGAATGTAGACAGAAACTTAAGAAAATAAAAGTTGTACAAGTTGGAATGAAGATGTTAGATGCTTGGGATATCTTATTGTCAAAGTTAGAAGATTTTTCAGTTCGAGGTATAAAGTTCTATACACCTTCTCCAAACTTCTATTCTATCTTCACTGGATATAAATACGAACAAGTAGAATGGAAAGAAAATATTATAGAAGCTTGGTTAGACCATGTCAAAGAAATTATATGCAATGGAAACGAAAGAGTCTATGAGTATATCTTATGTTGGTTTGCAAACATCTTACAACATCCAAGTGCTAAGAATGAAACTGCTCTCATTATAATTGGAAAACAAGGAACTGGTAAGAACACATTCTTTACAGATATTTTGTGCAAACTGTTAGAAGGTTATTCGAACCCGAATATGACAAACTTAGAAAACATCTGTGGCAAGTTTAACTCCTCAATAGAGAATATGAAACTTATAGTTTGCAATGAACTTCAAAGTATAGATACAACAAAAGTTTTGAACTCAGATGCTTTGAAGAGTCTTATAACAGACAAAGTTGGTGTTGTTGAAAGAAAGTATAAAGACCAAAGAGTTTGTGAAAATGTTGCAAACTTCATTATGGTTTCAAACAATACTGTTCCGATGAAGTTAGAAAGTTCTGACAGAAGATATGTAGTTGTCAGAACGTCAGATTCTCATATGCAAGATACAGAATATTTTGACGACTTAGCAGAAACTTTGACATCTGACTTTTACAACCACTTGTTCTCATATTTTATGACATTAGATATTTCTAAGTTCAATCCAAGACAAATTCCACATACCGAAGAGAGACAAACATTGTTAGAAGCAAACAAGAGTGTATATGAACTGTTCGTAGATGAAACTGACTTTGTGTCATTAGATGAAAGGTCATTGTACGATTCGTATAAACAATATTGTCAAGAATATGGTTATATGGCAGCTTCTAAACGTACATTCTTGGCAAATGTCAAAAGTCTTTTAGACGTACAGAATGGTGTATATACAAAGAAAAATTTTTATGAGTAAATTTAAAAAAAAAATATTTTTTTTATCCGATAGAAAAGATGACAAAATTCATCTCAGTAAACAAGTACATGTCAGGACTTAAAGAAGAACTAGACCCATTCACATATTTGAATGTTTACTTCTACCATTTTGAAAAGTCTTCATTCAGCAAAGTTTGGAACATCGAACCAGTTAAGTTTGCTATTGTGACTAAAAATGGTGCGAAATTTGAAGACTTAGACATAGAAGGTTTGTTAGCAGTCAAAGAAAATTTTGACAGAAGGTTCTCAAACCTTAAAGAAGGCAAAGCATACAAACTTGTTATACCTTATGAACCAAAGAAAGCAGACGACTATGAATATTATGAGTCTAAGATAGTTGAAGTTCAAGGTAAATTGGGTAAAAAGATTTTAGAGTCTAAGCCAGTGTTTGCCCCTAAAGAGGAAGAGAACATTGACATTGACCCAGAAATGTTCTAAAAATAAAATTTTATTTTTACATGTCAAATTTCTTTTTCTCTGGAACTGGTTCAGGTTCTTTCTTCTCTTCTTCTACTTTCTTTTCTTTCTTTTCTCTCTTCTTCTTTTCTGGTGGAGTTATGTCAAATTTGGCGCAACCATATTTATGTAAAAGTTCTTTGTCCTTTAATAGCTCTTCTATTCTGTTTTCTATTTCATCTTCAAGAACAGCGCATGTGTCTTCTTTGCATTCTAAGAAGTTTTGTTGGACTTCATCTTTCCAAGAGGCGTCATCTCTGTCAACAAGTCTGTCATTGACAAACTTAAAGACTTCTCTGCCTAATGTTTTATGGTTCTTGTCATATTCCCAGAAACAGAACTTTAGAACAAATTCACCTTTCTTGTTTACACTATGTAAGATTTTATGGTCGACAGATGTTTTGCTGTCAAAAAGCTTGTCTCGAATATAGATAGCGAAATCGCTAGACATTTTCTAAAAGATAAAAATTTTAATTTTTCTAAAAATATGTTAGAAAAAAAGTTTGCTGACATTGACAAGAAATTTGAGAATGTTTTAAACAAGAACAAGAGGAAGTTAGAAAATGCTCAGATAAAGCCTATACATGACAAGTTCTTATTTGCTCAGAATGGTATAACAGGTCTAATCGCACCACCTGGGTCGGGTAAGACTTTCACTTATCTTAAAAATTCGGTTGCGATTTTGCCTACTAATTAATCATAATTTACCTTTAACTAAAAAATATTACATAAATCTAACAAAAAAACCTTTAGCAATAAAAATACATTTGCTCAAGCCTATCGGCAACTCAAATCTAAAAAAACTTTTTATAACATTCTTATTACAATTTTTATTTTATTCTTATATTTATATTTTTTAGTTCACTTTTTAAATAATGATCTTTAGATTGAACCAATAACGCGATTTTCCATATAAATCGCGATTTTTTAGAAAAATCGCGACCACAATAAAATCGCAATTCATTAAAAAAACGCGATTTTTAAAAAGTCGCGATTTTTCTAAAAAATCGCGATTTATATATTTAAATCGTGATTTAAAAAAGTGGTTGCGGTTTTCCCTAATACCAGGGTTGTAGAAACAAGAATAGTCATTTATAGTTCGTCTGAACAGTACAAACATAGTATCTGCATGTTTCATTGCAGTTGTTAAAGCAATATCTGTTCTTGCACCTGCGGCTCCTGGATTTTGGTTTCCAACTTCACCTGCAAAGTCTTTGACAGATATTTGGTGTATAGGGAACATAAGTGGAACTGCAATATATTTGGCAGCTAAAGCATTTGAAATATCTGGGTCCAACATATAGACTGCAAGTCTGCTTTCTATTCTCTTGCATTCAAATTTTTCGCATGTGAACTTAAATGGGTCCCAAGCAGTATTGTTGTCTGCTGTTCCTGAGAAGTAGTAGTTTACTTCAGTGTTGAGGTTTGAGAAACCAAAGTCTAAGTCAACTTTCTCTTTGCACCATTTTCCAAATGGTATGCTGGCAGCTCCACCAGCTGTATCTGTAATAGTGAATGGGTCTTGTGTTGGTGCAATGACTAAGTTATTTTTGCTTGGAGTAAGTTCGATAGAAATTTTTCCTGCCCAGTTTGGCAAGTATCTTAAAAACCTGAAGATGAGGAAAGATGACAAAGGAACTCTAAGTTTCAGTTTTACTTTGGTTACTGCAGCTGCAGTTTGTCCAGAAAGGTTAACATAAACTCCTGGAACGTTAGGATCAAGTCTTCTTATTTTCTCAATAGTTGCATACTGGTCTGTTTGTTCTCTAGCTTGTGGTTGTACTGAGTTTCTCAAAGCGAACCATTCATAGTTTGCCCATGTTACTGTTTGAACTAAGTCAGAGTTAGAATATATCTTATATCCCATGAAAACTTCTGGAGCATATTGGTATCCGACATAGAAAATTCCATTGCAACCTTTCTTGTCAGACAACTTGGCAGAAGGTTTTATTTCAATGTCTTGTTCCACGTATAAGAATGAGTTGTCAATAGAAATAATATGAAACCTGTCGCAAGCAATATCTACTGTTGTTGAAGAGCCTTCTCCAAACTCACCTACGTTTCCATAAGAAACAGCAGTGGTATATTCGTAAGTTCCAGGAACTATTTCTGACCTTCTAATGGCATTGTCGCATTCGTTATACCATTCGGAAACATTTCCGTTCATGGCATCCAAAACTGTTGGCGTTATATTCTGAGCGGCGTACATTTCATATGGGTAAAAATATAGAATAGTTGGATTTATTTGTCATAATTGTTTCGGACCAAGCTTTACTTTCTTCCTGACTGAGTTTTTAACTCTTCTTTTTCCTTCATTGCCACTACTTTCACTAGATGAAGTTACTTCTTCACTACTTTCACATTGTTCTACTCTTCTCTTCTTCTTTGGTGTCGCTTTTGGTAACTTGCCCTCTGCTTCAAGTTGTAGCATCTTTGCCTCATGTTCACCTAGTATGTTGTAAATTTCCCATGACCTTTTTGCCTTTGGGCTCTGGTCGCCCATCTCAGGTAACCTATATCCTAGAAAGATTTTGTCATAGTTTGTATTTGAGTCTTCGCTTATTGTTTGCATGACTCTTTCCTGAGTTTCCGGTTCAAGCTCTTCAAACAGAGCTTGTCCATATGGAATAAGCTCGTTTCCAAATATATGTTTTTGTAGCCATTCTGGTTTTCTTTCCATGTAACCAATAATATCTTTTGTGAATGGGAAAGCTTTTACCCAACGTTTCAGTCTTGCATCATTTATTTCTGTAGTTGGTTTTATTTTGTCATGGAACATGTTTTTCAATACTAACATTTCATTTGGTACTGTCCATTTGAGTTTTCTTAAATATTCATCCCTTCTCAGTTCATTGTCTGCAAAGTAAGTTTTCATGACATTTTGCAAACTTTCGTTTGCAAGGTCATGTACAATAGGTTCTCTTCCTTCTCTCTCCCTAACTTTCTTTCTAAACTCTTCACCAAATATACCATCTCTATGGTTCTGTGTAGTTCTTTGAGATAAATGTTCTAGAACGTCAGGTGTTATATTTCCCTCAGCCATGTTCATTTCATACCGGTCCAAAATATCTGCATCTTTCATATCTTTCAATGGCATTAAAGCCGCGCTGAAAATACCCGTTATATCTGGTTCACCATTCACTTCCATTGCGTCTACAACTTCTTGGAATTGTGGTTGTAAGTTTATGAACCACCTATCCGGATTAGCTTTATGACCCCATCTCATTGTAGTTCCATAGTCTGCAGAAACAAAAGTAGGTTTGTTTCCATATTGGTTAGGTTCTGAATGAACTTTAAACAATGTTTCATTTCTATATGTTTTGTTGAAATTTAACCTTTTATTTTCACCGAGTTCAGCCAAAGATTGAACGTTATATGGTCGTAAGTAAAAAGGATTATTGTATTTGCGTACATTTTCTTTCAGTACTTCCATTCTATGCTGAATATTTTCATCTGATGTTGGAGTCTTTTGTATGTCGGTGAACATTTTTCGATATTCTTCTACTATGTCAGCCGAATTTTTCTTAGACTCTTGGAAAGATTCCATATTCACCTCATACTCTTGTTGAGGGTCAAGATTTTTCGGCTGTTCCAAATCTTCATCTAGTTCTGTGAAGTTAGTTTCCAAAGGAGGGACTTGTTCGTTTCCTTCAGGCTCTTCTAGCTGTTGTTGCTGAACTATTTCTTCCATGTCTGGTTGTATCTGAACTTCTTCCTGTGGAGTTTCTTGTACCTCATCTTGTGGCATTTCATATATTCCGAGACCGTTTTTAACAAGTTCCCTATCTAAGTCATCCGGACTCATAAACCTTTCTTCTTTCGTTCCGTCTCTATTTTTTACGCGTTTCATGAAGAGAGTTGAATTATCATTTAGCTCTGACATCAAATATCTCGGAGTAAATTCATTCATGTCATTTGGATGATATGCTATTAAATCATATCCCTTTGCGAGCTTGTATTTTTCAGGTTTGAGATTATATCCGATTTGATGCTGAACCATAAAGCTAAATAGGTTCGGGTCAGTATTTCCTTCCTTGAACTTTCTAATAGCTTCTTTATATCTGTCACTAAAGTCAAGAGTATCTGGGTAACCATAATCTTCCTTAAGCATTTTTAAGAATTCTTGGTTTCCTTTTTCTCTACTTCTTTTATGTCCTTGCTCTGTTTGTGGTTGTTGTTGTGCAGGGTTTTGAACTGTTGGTTGCTGTGCTGGTTGTGGAGGTGGTTGTTGTGCTGTTTTTGGTTGTGGTGTAGGTGCTGGGTTTTGAACTGTTGGTTGTTGTGCAGGGTTTTGAACTGTTGGTTTTGGTTGTTGTTGTTGTGCTGGATTTTGAACTGTTGGTTGTTGTGTTGGTTGTTGTTGTTGTGCTGGACTTTGAACTGTTGGTTGTTGTGTTGGTTTTGGTGCATGCCTGTGTCTGTGTCCATGTGACGATGTAAATGTTTTAGGTAGTCCTGGTGCAGGTGCTTCTCTTGGAGGGTTTGGTGGTATATAAGTTCCACCAGCTGGCACATATGTTCCATCTGCAGCATAATGTCCTACCTGACTTTTCGTTTTTAAGAAAGCATTTACTAGGTCTGTTTTGGTCTGTTGTAACTCTTTTTCTTGACTTTCCACAACAGCTGCTCTAACGGCGTCATAGACACTTTGAACTGCCTGTCTCGTTGCTGCATCTGTTATTTTCGTCATATTTTGTACTACTTCTCTTAACTCTTTGTCGAAACCTTCAGACTTCAGTTTCTTTCCAGATGAGAAGTCGTTCACTAGTTTCACCTTACTATGAAGAGCTTCGAAGGCATTCTTAAAGTCAGCATTCATTAAAGCTTCATTTGAACTGTCTTCATCCGCTTGTATTTTTGTCCTTATTGACCCTATAAGTTGGGCTGCTTTAGCGTTGGCTTGGGCATCTAACCAGTCATTATTAGCTTTTATAATATCTGCGCTTTTCATTGCCTTTTGCATGGCTGCGTCGTTATTTTTACTTTCTTGTGCTAAGTTTTCATACTGTACGGTTTGGTTTTGCAACTGTAAAAGTTTTTCTGCCTTTACATTTGCTTCAACTTCTTTTTATACTCATCGCTATCCATATATGTCTTCATGGCTTTTTGTTTTATCTCTTCATCTTTCAGTACTTTATATTGAGTAGTATGGTTTTTCAAATTTATAACATCTTGTTCCATTTTTGCTACTTCTGCTGCTTTTTCTGACACTTTTTTCGCATATTCCTCTGTACTTAGTTCTTTCAGTTGTTCTTCTTTCTTCTTTTTCTCTACGTTTAACTCATTTAGTTTCTTTGTCTGTCTGTCATATTCTAGTTTCTTTTCGTTTTCACTTATTTGTTTCTGTATGTCTATGTTTGACTTTTTGACATATGTTATTTGATTTTTGAGTGAACTCAAATTCATTTGACTTTGAGGGTTATAAGCTGTTCCGTCTGCAGCTCCACCATAGCCTGCCATTTTCGCTAAAAGTGCCGCTCTTAAACCTCCACTCTGTGCACCAATAACTCGGTTTAAAAGCATAGGGTTGCTTGACATTTGTTGCAACATAGTGGGGTCATTCATCATTTGTTGTTGCAACTGTTGTTGTGGTGTCAGTTTTACTATTGGATGTTTCAATGCTCCCTTCCTCTTACGTATATTCTTACGTAGCTTACGTGGCATTTTAAGTGAAGTTAAAAAGCGGTTTTTGACAGATGTTTATATGACACTATTTGTTCAGCACAAAAAACTACTCGGTCAAAGTGTTGTCAGTTTTGTAAAATAACCGTCCTATCTCATTCTATAAGGGAGAAAAGGCTTCTCAAAGTATACTTCCTTGGAACGCCTGTAACTTTTCCTGTAGCGACGATAGACCCTTACTTGTCCGGACAAAGTTATACTATTTTGAGTGCTCTACAAAAAAGTCAACGGCGACGACTCTCAAAAACCGTTGTGTAAAAAGTTTTACCGTTGGACAAAAAAGTATATATAGAAAACAAAAAACGTTTATAGTTCATTCAATATTTGAGATAAACCGTTTTTCCAACGGTAACTATTAAATAAAATAAAAAAATAGAGGGGGTTACCGTTGACGAAAACGGTTTATCTCAAATATTTAAATATCTGTCTTTTTTGGTCAGTTCATTTTTATCTAATGGAAGCCCCACTCGCCACATCCTTTATAATGTTGAGAACTTTATACCAAGTTCGTCAAAATCTTCCTCGTTACATCCAACGGTCATTCGACACGAGAATCGTCGAATTCACACCAGAAGACTAACAATTTTCCGAATAAAAACTTCATTTATACTAAACATCTTCGGGGCTAGAGGGCGCAACGCGCCTGGAAGCCCCACTACCTTTTTTTTTAAATCTCATGAAATATAAAGAAGAGTAATATTTTCCGAATAAAAACTTCATTTATACTAAACATCTTCGGGGCTAGAGGGCGCAACGCGCCTGGAAGCCCCACTACCTTTTTTTTAAATCTCATGAAATATAAAGAAGAGTAATATTTTTCAATTTTCTTTTTTTCTTTGTCTCAAATATTTTCTGTTGGGAATTTTCTTGTTATCAAAAAATAATTTTAATATTTGTTTATTTCATTACATACAATAAAATTTTAAAAACTCTATTTCTTCACAAGAAAATTTTTTCCTTCATATGAAGAAACATTTTGTTCTCCATTTGATGCTGAGTCTAAATCTCGATTTTTGAATTTTCTTCTTTCCAAATTTCTTTTTTCCAAATTAGAAGTTTAATTCAAATTTTCAATAGTTTATATATTTTCTCAAACCGTCTTAGATTTTCTTACTTTTTGGGGATTTTCTCTCAAAATATACAAAAATAGTAATATCAATACATGTGTCTAATATACTTTAAAACCATCGTGATAAAATTCAAAAACGAAGAGTTCTTCTCTCCAAATTTTTTTCAAAATCAAAAAAATGAGATAAAAAAATACGTTTGGAAAATTCATTTTTCGCATTTTAGGAATTTTCTCACTTTTCTTCCAAATTGACATCCTTAATTAAAACAAATTATTATGGAATATATAGCAGATATACAGTAAAAATCTCACTTAGTCGCCAAAAATTTTTAATGCAAAAAAAGCGTGTTATTCAGAACCAACCCCCAAAACCTAACACGCCTTTATTTACACATTTCCAAGGGCAACTACTTTTTATAGTATTTTCAATTTCAGCCCTTACAAGACTTTATTTTATTTCACATTTTAAATTCGAACTCAGTATAGAAACAGAATTATATCGCGAATTCACATATTTATCAAAAGGAATTATTCCTCTCGATAATAAACCGCTTACTGGACGTTTTTGTTTATTCTTCTTTTATTTAGCCATCACAAATAACAATATGGACAAAGTGTATGCAATGCAGAAATATCTAAGATCAGCTGCTGCGCTTATTGGCTGCTTTGTCCCTGTTTTAGTTTCCGCATCTTTAATACTTTATGGATATTCAAATAAAATCTCAATTACAATAGGCATTTTACTTTCAATAGAGCCAACACTTATCATTTGGTCAAGAATTTACAACGAAAATGTTCTATTTTTAATATTTTCCGCTTTGGCAATTTTCTTGAATTCTCTCGAACGGCATACAAACCATCCACTTCTTCAGCAAGGACAGGCCCTTTGTGCATCATTTGCAATGTTTACAGATTACACTGGCATCGTTTTAATTTTCTATTTAATATTATTTTCCACAAATAACAAAAAACTCTTTCCAGACCTTTTATCATTACTTCCTGTATACTTTGTCCTAGAAATTAGCCTCAAAATTTTATTTTACGAAGATCAATTGATTCTTGATCCAAAACTACCACATTCTCGCAGACTTAACGTTACTATTCACAAACTACCATTCTTTGACATTACTAATCGCAGCGTTATAGACTTTTTCGAGTTTTTCACTTTTAAATTGCCAATTGAACAAATTTACGTTGACGAAAACGTAAAAATTGCATCAATTATATCACCTGTACTTATAGTGATTGTAGAAATATCAGCAATTCTCAATTACAAGAGCAAACAGACAGCAATGTTTTTATTTACGATATTTATAATATGGATCTCTAAACCGAATGCAGTTAGTAGTTACCATATATCATTAATATTTGGATATTTCATTTTCGCGTCGTATCTACAAAATAATCAAGGAACAATTGCAAAAACACTTTTCGTTGTTAGTATCGTTTCTGCAATTGCATTTTATATACTATACTTCCCTTGGATATACGGGCGTGAAATTGATGAATATTACGATTCAATTTTAAGTTTATTGAATCGACAAAAGTAATATTATATTTTTTTGTTTGTTTAATATATAATAAATGTTTTCATATGATTTGTATATATTAGTTTTTAAGAGAGTTCCTGTCAAATCCAAAATTTAATAAAGAATATTGAATTCAAATTGAAAACTAACATAATTCATGCATTTTAATGACAGAAATATCTGTAATGAATTCATATTCCAATTCATAAAGGAACTTAAATCATCAAATAATGGAATGAAAATCATCAGGCATTTTCCATGAGTAATGCCTATTTCATATCAATCATAATATTTATACGTACTATTTATGCATTTAAGACTATTAATCCATCATATATTCAATGTGATATATTATTGGTTACAAATTTCAACACAATATGTCAAGAATACTAAATTTGAATAATCTTTAATATGGGATTTATACGTATGAAATATTATGGAAAAAAATTATACTTTCTTTGTTATTGCAAAATTATTTTGGATAAAATGATAATTTTGGGACATAAATACAAAAGTAATGAATAAGACAATGAAGTGAAACTATTTATTCAAAACATAACAATATCATTCAAATTAGATTTTGAATTTTTCTTTTGGAAGTCTGAAAGAATGTCAATAGCTAAGCCACAAGACATATCATCAGTTATATTCTCCAATGCGTGATGTATAGAGTCTACATACACTTGTGCATCGTAATCAGACAAAGTAAACGAAGAATGGCGAAGTCTTCCATGAAATGTTTGGTTGATTCCATTATCAACTGTGAAACAAGTAAAAGTGGAAGATCCAAGTGCTCTATCTCCTCTCAATGCGATGTTAAACCATGCATCTGTTATATCTCCGCCAACTTTGAATGTTCCGAGGCTTGACATGTCTGCACCAACTCCTGGGAGTGCTCCTATTGGAGGAATTTTGCCTTCTTGGATCTGTTTGAGGTATCCAAAGTGAAATCCTGATTTTACTTTGGAATTAAAGTCAGATCTGAGTATTTTCATAAATTCACCAACAGAAGTATCTTTCGTGGCTTCTGCATTGACGGTAATTGATGAAAATATGTTACAATGACGGAAATCTGGTTGTACTTTCATAAACCTACGTAAATCAATGCAAGTTCCACATCCTTTTGTATTGAAATTACCATTGAAAGCTGATATCGTCAAAATAATTGATGACCAAAGATTTTCTGTTAAATGATGTACAGATTTTGTTTTTGGATTGTAACATTTAAAGTTTGCAAGATTAGAAGAAGCTGATGTATGATGAGATGTATTATCCATCGCTAAATGAAGCGTATCTTTGGCAATAATTCGTGATAAATTTGGATTTACAGTATTGAAAGGTGCTGGAACTCCATTATAGCTTTTAATTTCATGATCAAACACATAATCAACTGATTCAAATATTTCTGGGAGATGTACCTCTTCATTTTCGTGTTTATTAAGATAATTAAGAAGAGAAACGAGAAACATGCCATCAGCAGCAGCATGATTTATGTTAAGAACTATTGTATCATTATTTGCACCGATTGAAGCTAATGCTTCTGTCATTGGACGTGTATGATTTTTATACATGAATTTACATGCATCATCTAGTGTTTTAAGTGTAGAAGGAAGCTTGTAAACAGGTGTTTTCTCTTTAGTTGGCAATAAATTCCAGTCAGAAACTTTGACATGAAATCCTGAAACAGAATTAATTATTTTTTGAATATTTCTTTCTAATGATGCACTGTTATTAATTTTAAGCCCTAATTGCACATATGCTCTATTTCTTAAAAAGTTTCTTTCCCAACCTATCGCTGCACGCATTCAGAGCAAAAAAAAATAAAATAAAATTTGACAAATAAATTTGAAAAAGTGTCAGATTTGATCTGAATAAAAACATAATAATTGCTACTATGAGTAATCTCGCAAATATTTAACGATTTCGAAAGTTTTATTACAAAAATAACCTTATTATAAAATCTGATCTTTAATTCGAATGAGTTTATCCTTTTGGGCGAACAAAACCGATATACCCCGTTGTAAAGTAACAATGTCAGTTGATTGTGACCTACCTTCGTCGTATGTTGCATTTATATTGATGTTTATTTTACTTATACCATTTGCGTTCGTATCTACATGTCTTATCAAAAATTGGACAATCACGCATGCTAGAGAATACTTAACAGGTGCATCTTATTGCATTACTTTTATTATTTTTAATGTTATTCTTTACTTTTATTATTATTGCTTTTATCCTATACTTCATGACCACATTTCAAATTCTTTTTCCGGTTTATCTGCAACCGCAAGCGACTTATACATCATGTCTGTTTCTCTTTTTTCTATCCAGTTTCACGTGTATTAGTTCTATTTAAAGCAAAATTTGCCAATATAGCTTATTGGGTTTCAATGATGTTTTCATTGTATTACACATTTACTGCTATTGTCAAATTTATTTTAGTTTATATCGACAAAATACCTAATAATATTCGCAAAAATCTCTTCAGCGATGCAGGAATTTACTATAAATATGCTATCCAATCGTCAGAGTATATAATTGACTGCATTTCATTCTTTATTCTCTCACAATTCTTCCTATTTTCAGGTGTCGAGCTTTTGGTGCCACAAGGATTAGTTATACGTCTTAAGATTGCTTTATTCTTGATGGCTCTCATGGAAATAATTGCTATAATGCTTAGAGAATATCTAATTTCAATTCCAATCGGTAGATATCAATATAATAATCCAAGCAAGTACTATTGGATATTTACTGTAATGTTTTTCGGTCATAGATTACCAATAGACTATGTAATTTTATATATAATTTATACAATGACGATTCAGAACTTCAAAGTTGAAAAAGATGAACAATCCCTGAAAGTCTTGAATGATACATTCGAAGGTCTCTAGATACTATCCTCGGTGATTCCTTTTTAAAAAAATTGTTTTGTGTTTTTTAATATATCGTAAAATTAGACTGTCATTAGAGTTTTTCTATAGATTTTTTGATAAGTTCTTTCAAAATTTCATTCAATAATGAAATGATGAAATAATATTTACTCCTTCAATATATCTGAGGTGGAAAATGTGCTAAGTATGTGTCATAAGGTCATCTATATGAAAATGACAATTCATTTCCAACAATGAAAATTTGTGTTCATTCAGGAAAGTTTCATGCAAACGATGTACTCTCTGTTTTCTTGTTAAAATCGCTAGATGAGTATAAAAATGCAGAAGTTATCCGAACAAGAGATATGGAAGTCATTAATAACTGCGATATTGTTTGCGATGTTGGAGGAGTATATGATCATGATAAAAAACGATATGACCATCATCAAACAAACTTCTTTATGACATATCCAAACAGAAAAGTACCACTTTCTTCTTGTGGATTAATTTATCTTCATTATGGAGAAAGAGCAATCCGAGAAATTCTTAAGAAAAACAATCGCGATGCTGGTAAATACATTCAATTTCTCATTGATTCCATGTATGATAACTTTGTTCAAGAAATTGATGCAATTGATAACGGCTTTTCACAAGTTGAGGGGCGGACATCTAAATATGTTATAACATCAGATATTTCAAGTAGAATAGACTACTTAAACATCAGATCTGAAGAAAATATGAAAGAATTTAATCAGGCTATCGATTTAATTGGCGAAGAATTTACATTTAGACTTCTTAGATACTGCGATTGCGATGTTCCTGCAGCCGAAGTTACACAAAAAGCTTATGATTCAAGATTTGACGTGGATCCAAGCGGTCACATCATGGTTTTATCAGAATTTTGTGATCCAAGACCACATCTTAAGTATATTGAGAAACCAGACCAGCCTCTCATCTATTTCTATCTTAGACAAGATGGTAATTTACCATGGAGAATTCAAACTGTTGAGTATCCTGGTAGTTTTAAGCCAAGAGTACGTCTTCCATACGGCGGACTTATGGAAGAAGATTTATCCAAAGCTTGTGGAATTCCTGGAGGAAAATTCTGTCACAAGACAGGATTTTTAGGTGTCTTTTACACATATGAAGGAGCTCTCGCATTTGCACGTTTGGCCTTAGAAAAGAATTTGAAATAAAGAATTATTATAGAATCCCTATCATTAATTACATCTTTTGACACCCACATTTAACATTTTCCCTCGAGTATAAATATAACTTACTTCCAAACTCATCGTATTTACGATCATTTGCTAAATTTTAAAATTGACTAGCTTGATATCATTATCCAATCTTAGGCAATAGCCAATTAACCCATATATTTTCGATTAACCCAATTTATTATTACATAGTTTATGTTTGAGACAATCGAAAATTGAAAATTATTCAACTGAGGTTAGGGGCGTGAAGAATCAATTTTAATAGCCAATTGAAAATCAATGAGCATGTACTTTCATTGCTAATACCAATATTTAAAAATCAATCATAATTTTTTGGAAATTTTTCAAATTGACCCTTATAAAAATATTTTATTTTAGTAATGGATTAATTTAATCATAATAAAATCAAAAGTTCAACTTAATTTTAAGATTCCATTTCCAATCAATAATTACTCTTGCCAGATCATTTATCACACTCTTCTCCTGTATGTTATTTTTACAAAGACATAAAATTACATTCCGATCATTTGAATCATTTTGATCGCTAACAATTCTCCTCTCTTTCTAAAAAAATTTTTTTTGTTAGATTACATAAATGCTTTTTTTATTACTCTATCGATTTACCCGGAAAATTGATACCATCGGTGATATCTATATACTTGACTCGTTCGGGTTCAGAGTAAATGGAACATTTAATGTATCTTTTACTAACGTAGAAACTCCTCAATTATATTACGCCCTTTTATCAGAAAATGACTATCCATTTGACTTCCTCATCTCCACACGTGTTAAGAGTCTATGTCAAGGCGCGCCACCAACGCCAATGTTTAAATCTTATGTTCCTCATGGGAAAACATATTTATTTTCAGGTGTTATTCAGAAGAAAAGCGTTTACATTCCGATTATATACAATTGTGCATCAAATTCGACTAAGGTTACCATAGAAGAAATTTTTATAAATCCTACAACTTTTTTAGATTATCGGTGGATAGGCAGTGATTGGTCTCATTTTGGGATTATGATATACTATTCGATCTTACTTATCATCTGGATCTTAAATTGGGCCCTTCATTTCAAATATCAAATTAAAATTCACTATTTTATATCTGCATGCATCATGCTCGGCTTATCGTACCATATATGCAGTTATATAGAATTCAAAATGCTTGCAAAAGATAACATTGCACGATATACTACTGTTACAAGAATTGTTTTAAATGTTTTATACACATCAGAGTTATTTATCACTCTTCTTTTATCAGCAAAAGGTTGGTGTGTGTACAGAGTTTCTCTTTCTATCAAAGAAGTTTTTTTCTCAATATTTTACGGAATTTGTTACACTGCGTTCAATTGCATCATCACATTTGCAAATCTAAAGTCAGCAGATGCAGTTCTATCTATCATTGCGTTAATAACTATCGCGCTTTTCATCAGAGAATTAATTGTAAGTATAAATCACTCAAAGATACATTTTCTTGCATATTTATACGTTATATCTGAAGCAGGAATAAACCCAGAGTCCACACCCATATATGCAAAGTACAGAGCGTTCATTTACCTGAAATTTTCAGTGATTGTTTGCTGTGTCTTTGTTATTGCACGAATCGTTGTCACCATATTCGTTAATGTCCTATTTTGGGTGAAACAATTCGTTTTGGACATTGTTTTAGTGTTAATGGTTTCATTTCTTTGTTTTATCTTCAGATTGAAGTCTGAAAAGTCGGAAGATCAGTACCAAATGATCGAAGAGCATGATGTAGAAGGCAGTTCGCCGAAGAACATCCCGATTTCTGAAATTAGAAAAATTAATATTACGGATTTGACTCATAAAGCAGGAGTTGACTGGTCACAAGGCATGAAACTCCCTGCATCTCCTAATATTCTAGACGATAGCACTTTGAAAGGGCGTCCTCTCCCTCAAGATGAGTTATCAATTTAAGTTTTTGTTATTTTTGTTTATTTATAATATAAATTGTTTGTATTGTTATTATATTATTTATACAGTTTACTAGTTTTTTTACAAATACATAAGAATTTGGTTTTTCTGAAAGAAATATCAAATTAAACTGCAGTATTCATATATCTTACTGCTTCTTCAAACTTTTTCGGATTTCTAAATGTTAGCCTTAGATCTTCTTTGTTAACATCTTTGAAATTACATGAATATAATCGAATGAAATCAACTTTCTCGTTATCTAGTTTAAGAGATCGCATTAACAATAATGCTTTTGAATTATCTAACTCTACATCATCAATTTTCTTCAGCATGTAAGCTCTATACTTTTGAAACGTTTCTAATGATAAAGATTCTGCGAGTTCTTCTATTTCATTTGGTTTAGGTTGACGGCGAAAATAATATGCTGATGGTTTCGTATTTACTGGTGCTGGATCTAATGTCATTTGCTCATAAGATCTTGAGTTACAACATCCCATTGTAAAAAAAAATTTATAAACATCGCGATCATAATTGTTATCAATTACTGGCATTCATCGAAATGAATTGTATTGGCATAACAATTCATATTTCCTCGTAGATTTTAGCATTTATCCATAAAAAATTGAATATTTTATTAAAAATTTTCTTAATTTTGAGATTATATCATGACTAACAAACAGTACTAGGTTTATATTAATGTTTTACAAACAAATCTATAACAAAAACATTATTGTTCTTTCAATTGTTGCTTAAATAACTTTTTGTGCTTCTTTAAGACAGAAAACATATGCTGATCTTTCTCGTATACGTTCAAATGGTCCTCAATGAACTTAATAATGGTCGGAAAATCTTCTTTCTTTAATCTTTTCATAAAATCTTCAGGAGGAACAGATAAAACAGCATCTCTGAAGGATTCTCTTAATGTATTTCGTAATCTGAATCTAATGGCTGTCTGCGTTAACCCAAATTTGTACATTTCTTGGGGTGATAAAGTTCCATTTTGTTTATAGTTTTTCATTTCATCTTTTAGTTGGTCGCCGATATAAGTACCGTTAATTATATCGTTATAAGGGTTAACCATGATTTCTCTGTCCATAAGATAAGCATGAACGGTTCTGACCTTTTCTGTTCGCTCCAACAGGGCATTCTTCATTCCAAGATTAGATCCTGGAAGACACTGGCCCTGGAATATCGTATGTTTGAAAGATCCTTTTGCTGAACGAGAAATGTTGCTTAAAGTAGCAGTAATTGGGTAATCTGAGGCATGGGCCAAACGAGGATCATGTTGGTTTAAAACCACCAAAACTTGGCCTTCGAATTTGTAAGGATTAATTATATTCATCAAAGAAAAGAGTGCGTGTGTTAAATCGACTTCATTCTTGGATAAAAGCTTTACGGGTTCGCCAATGAGCAAGGCTTTCCATAGAATTGGGATCTTTGAAGTCATTGGAAACTCATTAAATGGATCATAACAATCGTATTCAGTTGAGTCTTCATCAGATGTATACATTTCTTTTCCGGTTGGAAATTGATAAGTTTGTCCACCTGAAAAGATATCAGTACGTGTATAAACTGATATTGTTTCCCATAAGTGTTTAACAATGTCTTCTAATGATGTCTGTGTTTCTATGTATTCGCTTGAATCATGAAGAAACTCAAATAACAGTTTTGGAAGTAATTGTTTCGATAATAAAATTAAGACATAATTATTTTCTTGGAATTGGAAGTAATAACAATAACAAAGATAATTCAATGATGAAAATATAAAGTACGATGGTGGTGGCATTGGTGTATCTGGTAAGCAATTTAAAACAATGTATTGAATATTGGATTCGAGATTAAACGATGATGGTAAAAAGTAATACAAGTTATGGATGACCTTTTCTGCGTTGACTTCCATCAGGCAGATGGCATCGCAGATTGGAGTGGTCATGTATGATTTTTTTTAGTTTCTGATGTTTACATTGCTTTCTGAATTTCTTTGAATTCAATTCTATTTTTATCGATTTATTTTTAAATCATGTTGCATAAATTCAAATTCTTGATCATGTCAAATTTTGCATCCCGGAAAATATTATGCGCATAATTGAGTACTTTACAAAATGAGTTTTTAAAGCGATTTTTTAGTCAAAAACATAACAAAATAAGATATTAATGAGAATGCACATAACCTTAATGGAAGATCATGTGAATCAAGTAGGAATTTCAGCTTTTGGAGCTGAAATAAAATTCATCATTTTGAAATTTGTGGAGTTTTTGTCTTCGTTGTCTGGGTATAGCCTTCTGAACTTTTGTTGCATTGAAAGGATAAGGATTTAGACCTCAAGAGTTTGTCAAATTAAGGATGGACAAAGCCATTGGGGAAGGCCATTAAAATTTTTAAAATTGAAAGAAACCATAATGTAAAGCACTCAAATCATGCAACAATAATATTTATCCGGGTGCCAAATTTGACTCAAGAATTCCATATTATGCGCAAAATTGAGACGAAGTCTCAATTTTGCGCATAATATGTTAAATTATGTATTGATTATTTTGTTTTAAAAGTATCTATTTCATCATAATCTCAATCATAACAAAAAATTTCAAAGCATTTCAGTATAATTTTAGATTCAACAAACTTGAATTTGCCATAATGATGATTGTCTTTTGAACTTAAACACCAAATACAATCGTCAAATTCGATACACACTTCTAATTTTGAATAAATATGTTCGTCGTTAAAATTCACTTCGTATCTCAGGCAGAATTACAAGTTTGTTAAGTTAATTCCAGAAAGGATAGTAATTATTTGCTCAACTAATATACTCCTAGTGAAACAAATTAAAATTGTTTGATATTATGAGTATTTTCAATGAATTTAAGGGTGCACACGAGAGGATCATGTAAACTTCAGAATTTAGAACCTTATTTTTAGGCATTATCTTGGCTACCTATTTAGGCTCGAAAAGCAAAAAATATCAAAAAATACAACTTGAGTCCATTATGACCCTTTCATGGAGGTAGTTTTTATCCGCTAGTATTTTCCCTTTGAATCTCTTTACAATTCGAAATCAAATTCAAAACTCAGTAGAAGAAAGGAAGAATCGACTTACTACGGTTGTAATACGAATAAATACATATATTTAATTATTTTTATTTACATAATAATTGTTTGAAGCTCATATTCCATCAAATTTTTAAATAAAAACATTAAAATGTTGAAAATGTTCATATATTTTAATAGGGTTTTGGCACTTTATTGAGGAATTACTACATACATAGTCGAACTGAACTTGATATTTTGAAATTTAAATTATTTATCAAAATTAAAATTTAACTTGAAATTTATAATTATTTAGTCATATTTTGCATAATTCTAAGTAGATTTTGTAAAAAATCAAGAAAGAAAAAATTTAACGTTCTTTATTTTTTCTTTTTTATAATAATACATATTATTATATAATTAACATATTCATAATGTTTCACCCTTTCAAAAATATAATCCTCCTCTCAAATAAACGTACATACGGGTGGCCTCTTTTTTCAAAAAATTAAAATTTGAAATTTTGGGCTCAAATATTAGAGATTTTTTCAACCTTCAACGATATATGTTGTCTATATCAGACCTCCTTTCTTTTTGATACTTAACATTGTTCCTAAATCTTAGCCGTTAAGGCTGTTCTGAAAATATTTTTTTTCGAAAAAATTCGAAAAAAATTCTTAAAATTCAAAAATCCCTTAATTCCTGAGGATTTTGGAAAAAAGTTTTTACATGAACATGTGTATATTATATGAAGTATATTGATAAGGTAAAAATCAAATTTTATTGCATATTCATCGAGAAAATAAACTAACGAATCCCTCAAAATTGAGAGGGTAATCCTCCTCCTCTCAAATAAACGTACATACGGGTGCACCCTTAATGTTGAGAAATGAATTTTGTCCCCAATATATTTTTTATTCCCCCTTAAAATCTTTAAATTTGGATTTTACATCCAAATTTCATCCATCGTGACGAAGCTCCTAATGATATTTGGCTTTTCTTCTATGGAACACAATCTCAATCAACACCAATTAAATGCATCAATTGCGAGGCAACAGTTGAAAACGGCGAATGTTTTTTATTTCTCAGTCAATTTTCTCATTTATCAGCTGGTGCTATTGAATTACAGGATTCTAACACTAAATTTCTCCATTCCGAATGTATTTTCAACAATTGCAGCCGAAATAGCGACGGCGGCTCAATCTACTTCAATTGCAACGGAAACGTTGTTCAGCATCGATTCTGCTCTACCAATTCGCAAGTTACATCCGGATATAGTCATTATTCCTGCACAATCTGCCAAACTGAAACAAATTTTCAAATAATTTCAGAAAGCTCGATTTCTTCATGCGGAAATACAAAATGTAGTAGGACTACTGTGTTTCAAAAAGGTAGTGCGAACATTACTTTATCGAACATTACAAAGAACACTGCTAAATCTGAAGCTGCTTATTCACTAGATCAAGATACGAAGTCTTTTGTTACTTTTAGTAATGTTGAAAGTAATTCTTGTTCAAATGGTTTCTGGTGTCTTGCACATCACAATACTAATCCAGATGAACACAACGTTCAATCATGTAATATCATTAATAACTCTGTTACTTCAACAAGTTTTGGAATTATCCTAACTGGGAAAAAAACAACAATTTCGAATTCAACAATTTTTAAAAATTTTGGATGTTCAATTTTATTTGATTTTGCTGGTAATTCTCCACCTATTCTAATTGAAAATTGCTATTTACAGAGTACTCCTTCTATTGATTCAAGAATTACAACAAATAATGTTGAATTAATTGATGAACTAAAAACAATAGATATTTACAATACATGTTATTATCAACTCAACGAAGAAGATGTTACTGATAATGTTTATGACTACTTTCGCATTACATACATTCTAATTGCATTTTTTGTTCTTCTTTCATCATAAAAAACTCTGTTTCTTTAGGTTCATATTTTTGATTTTTACTTATGCATGTTTTAGTATTCATTTAGAGGTTCAAACATGTGTTTAAGATATAGTTTCATGTGTGGTTATTTTTTTTTGCTTTTTTCTGAGTTCTAATCTAGAAGAAATCAGTGATGATTTGATCCTGAATGATTTTTATCCATGAAGGGAAAATTTGATGATTTGAGTTAGCATCGGGTGGATTCGTGATAGAATGCTTCTGTGTATGTGTGGCGTGAATTAGCATCGGGTGGTTGCGTGATAGAATGCTTCTGTGTATGTGTGGCGTGAGTTAGCATCGGGTGGTTGCGTGATAGAATGCTTCTGTGTATGTGTGGCGTGAGTTAGCATCGGGTGGTTGCGTGATAGAATGCTTCTGTGTATGTGTGGCGTGAGTTAGCATCTGGTGGTTTCATCACAAATTTTAACCCATCCAAATCTTATTAATTATTAAAATTCTTTTACAATTTCTGATGTATTTTTTGAAAACATTTCATATGCAATATTTCTCCTTTTCTTTCCTCAAATCTTCAAATATTAATAACTTTGGATATGAAATTATTTGGATCTTTTATGAATTTTAAATGTCTTTCTTAATATCAAATCGATTAAATTATTAATATTTTCTAAATTATGCCTTAAAAATCCAAATATAAAAAATCGTAAATAAAAAATATGTTTTTTATTTTTATTTTGTAAATAATCCGTTTACTAAATGGGATTGTATCATGAAAGTAACAAAAATCATTATTTAACAAGATTCAAAACTGGTGCAACGAAATGCACATTGATTTTGTAGTGTAACAAAGAGAGATTTATTGTAAAAAGTACAAAATAGTATATTTATTATCGTGATTAGCGTAGAAATGTATGAGTTTGGGACGGATTTCTGGTGCATTCATAACTAAAGTGATACATTGTCTGGAGCAAGTTCAGATCTTTAACTTATGGCTTGTTTGGTGCTAACTCACCCAATTTAAGTGCACTAGAGGGGATTTTGTCTGTAATGAGCATACACCTTGAGTTGTTGCTTGGTCCGTGTACGAAAGATAGTAATTTAATACTATACTCGATTAAATGTGAATTTCTAATTTTGAATTTGCGTTTTTTCCTGAAAATAGTTACAATATATGAAAGAGTTGGCAAAACTAGAGGACACGTCTTTAAGGGTTTGGCTCGTGCTTCATGTTAATATGCCGAAACTAAAATAAACGTATATTGGGGGTCGAAAATTGAGAGCTCATATCTTTAAGTGGAATTGTTGCATGCTAAGTTCGGTCAACGATAAAAATTGAGTGGAAATTAATCGTCGAGGAAGTACGATTATGTAAAGTAAAAAATGTTGTGGGATTTTTAATATTATATATTATTTTATAATAAAATTTTTTTGAGTCATTTTAAGAAGCACATATAATTTTTTGAATTTAAAAATTAAAGTAGTGTCAAACGAATTTATTACTTAATTTAATACTCAGATTTCTTAAAATTAATGAAAAAAAGGTTTCTGAGAACTTTTGAGAATGGTTTTCAAATTCCATTATTGAAAATATATAGGTATTGTATGAAATTCAAACTCTATATTTATTAAAATTCTAAATTTTTAATAAAATAACTTTTCAGAGGAATATGATTTTGAATGGTTGATTAATAAGTATAAAAATGTCTACGATTTTAAGGAGGGAATTGTTCCTTATGAGGTATACATCATAACTATATACCTCATAAGGAACAATTCCCTTTGATAGCTGGGAAACTTTCTCTGAATAACTTATCATTTGGAGAAAGTTTCCCAGCTATCTATTAGAAACTAAAGGCTGTGAGGCACTAATATATAATCAGTGCTCATAGCCTTTAGTTTGTTATTAAAAACGAGAAAACTTGTTCGAAATGATAAACAATTTCGAACAAGTTTTCTCGTTTTAAGGAGGGAATTGTTCCTTATGAGGTATACATCATAACT